GATAATTACATTCAGTGTCAGGGGTTCAAGGTCAGACATTTGTGAATGACTGATGTGATCAGGAGTGTCTTGTTGCTATGGAAACTCGTCTGTCTTTAAGCTGAAAGATTCCCATCATCATGTACCATGCCAGGGGTTAAAGTGTCAAATAACAATCCCGCACCACAGCTGTGGTTTATGCATAACCAACATCTCCGTACTCACAATATGTTAATTTCTGTGCATTACGTGTAACACATTGGAACCAATAAATTATAAACTTATCAATTCAACTGTTTCAAGAGCACTTTTGTCAGTTTGAAACATAATTAATATTCCCTCTTAACTCCATGCTGAATACGCTACAATGCAACTTTTATTAGCTGAGCAAAATGGTTAGTTACTCACTGTCTGCTGACTGGGCGGCATTACAATTTTCTGAAGGTCATGGGTACAGGTCCTTATAAAGTTGCACTTTATTCAAAAGTGACCTTGACTCTCAGGTCAACCCAGGCCAGGTAAAGTCCTGGGAAGTAAAGGCGGCTGGCATGATGCCGACCACATCACCCAATTGCCAATTAGCCTATAAAATATACTGGACTGGCACCTCTCTGTCTTTCCAGTGTTGTGGCATGAGACTCACAGTCCATGGTGATGGCGAGTGTGTCTAGCAAAATCTGCTCATGCTAAGAAAAGTATTCCACAATTATAGCATGGGATTTCAGGACCATTGTTGTCAATATTTGCATTTAGTGTGTTTCTTATCAGACGCTCAGCTCTCATCCTTTCTGAAATAATTTCTACCTTCATTCTCATTTCCTTTGTGATGTGCCCCCTCCACACAACACGGTCCATGGCATTTTGTGCCCACAAGTCAACCTCAATGCTTGTATCTTTCATGTTCCTCTTGCACACATCTTTATAACGTAGTAAAGGTCAGCCTCAACATCTTCTACCCATCTTTAATTCACCACAGAGGATGTCCTTAGACAAAATATAGGTCTAGCCCTATATGCCCAATGTTCATGAAGGCGCGGAAATTCCTTTTTTTATTTAATTGTCAGACTGGGTACTTCTTCTCAGGCAGGCTGAGAACATACAGGAATGGTGAGAAAAAAGCAATTATTTTAATTCTGAAAGAAGTTACCTGCTTGGAAGTGGTTAGCTCCATCCAGGGCGAAGAAAGGTCTCAGGACGGTGTGGTACCACAGCAAGGCCAAGGTTGCCAGAGGGGCCTTCATGTCCTTGGTGTGGCTGGTAAAGGCCAGACAGCTCAGGCCCACCTGGGGTCAGCAAAATCACAATTACCTTCCATGTTTGTCTCTCGTGCTGATTTATACATGCTCTAGTTACTTTATGGTATGTTACTGAGTTCACTACAATTGTTATAGATATTGTTCTTGTTAATGTTAACGAACTGTAAAATTCAAGTTGTTCATTCTTATACAACATGAAGAAGATGAAAGTAAATGGGTAGAATGGAATATCCAAGGCCATGAACGCCAGCATCTGTGTAGCAAACATCCAGGCTTCCATTAGATGCTTTTTCAAAACCTGAAGCTGAAAGACAGAACAAAAGGAAGAAAGAAGTGTGAGATGTTTCAGTGCAATGATTGCAAGCTGAATGATCACCACTATCTTGGGATTCATTCAGACTCTTTCAGTGCTAAAATTAGTGTGTGTGTGTTCCTGAACAAGCATCATCACAGATGAGACAGCAAACAAGAGAAGAGATTAGACAAAAGAATCTACCCATCCCAACACCAGTTATTACTGAATGGGAGATCTGAAAGACGCTGTGCCCTACCATCATTCACTGACTGGGAACTCCCAGTCTCATCCCACACCACAGGCACCCTCTAGAGACAGCAATCACTGCCTGCAATGCCCACTGTGACACAGGCACTGAAAAAAATTGATGTACTTAATATCTTTTTCAAACCAAAAACAATAAAAGTCTGCTTTCTTCTTCTTCTTCTTCCTTTCTAGCCCCTAATGGGGCACAGGCCTTCAACCAACTCATGCCAAGTAGTTCTATCTTTCACTATCACATGCAGCTCTCACCATCTTTTTAACTTTACTCTCTTAGCTTCCTTCTCTATTAGTTTTTGGCCTACCTTTATTTCTATGGCCATGCGGGTTCTGCTCTAGAACTTTGATTAAAAAAACTATATTTTTATATTATCCTAGTCTTTGCCCATTATTTATGTTAACGTAGGCTAAGTTCCATCTGTCACTAGCAGACGGAAGACAAACTGACCTACCTTCTGTCCCCCTCAAATTATAGAAACTCTATCAGCTTCAATATTCTCCCATCTGTCACTAGCAGATGGAAGATAACCTGACCTACCTCTCTGTCCCCCTCAAATCTTAGAAACTCTATCAGCTTCAATATCCTCCCATCTGTCACTAGCAGATGGAAGATAACCTGACCCACCTCTCTGTCCCCCTCAAATCTTAGAAACTCTATCAGCTTCAATATCCTCCAATTTGTCACTAGCAGATGGAAAATAACCTGACCTACCTCTCTGTCCCCCTCAAATCCTAGAAACTCTATCAGCTTCAATATCCTCCCATCTGTCACTAGCAGATGGAAGATAACCTGACCAACTTCTCTGTCCCCCTCAAATCTTAGAAACTCTATCAGCTTCAATATCCTCCCATTTGTTACTAGCAGACGGAAGATAACCTGACCTACCTCTCTGTCCCCCTCAAATCCTAGAAACTCTATCAGCTTCAATATCCTCCCATCTGTCACTAGCAGACGGAAGACAAACTGACCTAACTTTCTGTCCCCCTCAAATTATAGAAACTCTATCAGCTTCAATATTCTCCCATCTGTCACTAGCAGATGGAAGATAACCTGACCTACCTCTCTGTCCCCCTCAAATCCTAGAAACTCTATCAGCTTCAATATCCTTGGAGGCACCATGGACAGACAGAGCTGAAAGGTTCCATAACCAAAGTTGACAGCCCCCAGCAGACGTGTGAGCACGTCTGCCGACAGTCCTTCCCCACAGTCATCAATGACACCATTAACAGCGGCATGATCTATCCCAGAGATCTCGGCCATGGCATCAGCTGGCTCAGGGTCAACAGACGAGGAGAAAGACTTGGAAATTCTCGAAACTTTTCCCTGAACGAGACTGTCCATTAATGATGTCACTTCTCTGAAACACAACAGAAATACTTATAACAAGTTGTAACTGGGTAATGAGTAAGTGACTGCATGAGTGAGTGACTGCATGAGTGAGTGACTGCCTGAGTGAGTGCCTGAGTGAGTGACTGCCTGAGTGAGTGACTGCATGAGTGAGTGACTGCCTGAGTGAGTGACTGCCTGAGTGAGTGACTGCATGAGTGAGTGACTGCCTGAGTGAGTGACTGCATGAGTGAGTGACTGCCTAAGTGAGAGACTGCATGAGTGAGTAGGTTAACAAATAACCCCATATCAAATTATTCTGCTCATAGGTGCTTGGATCCCCTCTTCAGTAGATCCCCCAGCCGCTAATGACACCAGTTTGTGTTGGTTTATGTTTATTTTAAGGTTTTCCACATAGTGCTCCTGTCTAGTCTTGCCCTTTCTCACTGGCTGTTCTGGTATTCTGATCAAGACTATAGACATTCAGTCATCATTTGATTCATGCAAACATCTTACATCTTATACTCAGTATTTCAGCCTGTTTTACTGCTTGCCCATCCTTGACAGCAGCCCTCCCTGCAAGTCTATCAGGTTGTTTATTTCCTCTTATACCTACATAACCTGGCACAAACATGAAACACTCTTTGTCAGTCTCTCTTTTTGAGCCAGGCCTATTTTAATATTATTGAGCACACTCACTGAATCACAGAGAAACATGATCGAGCGAAGGTCTGTGTCTCCAGCCACGTTACTGCTTTAGATACTGCTGTGACCTCTATAGACTGACTACTTGTAATCAAGGCAAAAGCACTACAGCTTTGTTAATAAAAATTATGATGGTCACCATCAGGTGAATATTTATACTGCGGAAAGCAGTCTCCTGTAAGGACAAACTCTTGCACTTCTCTTAAATAATGGGGAAAGACTAATTACCAATTCTGATGGATGCAACTGCTCAACACTTATGCTGAGAAAAAGTTTCATGAGAAGAGAAATTGTGGCATTTTTTCTCAAGGATAACAAAACAAACTCTACAACAGCACGTGCCTATTTCAAATTCTGTGGGAACAGAACCACTCTTCCTCCACCCACAGCGGTACCACTTTAGGCAGATCAGAGATTGCTATTCCTCAAAAATCATGTCACAATAGGCAATAAATTAAGGATCTCCTAAAAGCTGATGTGCTAGTATGAAAGACCCAGATATCACAGCCTACTTGCAAACCAAAAAACAAAGTGGCCCTTTTTAACAAAAAAGAAAATGGTGCTATCTCCACAATAGTGGGTGAAAGCAATGTATCCACAGCTAACAAGGGAGATATGGTACATGATTAGGACACAATCTCTTCCACTACTGAGTAATCTACTCCCTTTATCTCTACTTCCTTCTATAAGTGCCAACAAATACATGTTATTCTGTTTATTACACTGATAATAAGGGTAAAAAAGATGAGGGTAAAACAAACTTACTTGTGGAGTCTCTCGTAAATTTTCCAGGCTTTCCTCAACAACCAGCCCCCTTTGACATAACTGGAAATATCCTGGTTGGTGAACACCAACACGGCCTGGTACAGGAGGCAGTCGGCCACAATCACCTGGTTGGTGATCCTCTCCTCAATCCTGAGAGCTGCTTCTGCCATCTGAGTCAGATCATTCAAGTATGAGTGGTTAGGGAAGTTAGCGCCATTTTCATTAACGAAAACACAAACAATATATTGCATAATAAACTGACCACAGTCATTTTATTCAAACATTAAACCTACACCAACGTTTAATGCATGGCAACAATCAACTTCGACCAATAGTCAACTTATGCCCACATTAGACTTATACCAAAATTTTAAATACAGCAACAATCAACTCTACACAACAAAATTTCAAAAAAATAAAAAATCAACATAAACCAAAAGTTAATTTATTCCCACATTAAACTTACACCAACATTTAACATGCAGCAACGATCAACTTACATCAAGTCAACTGTTATAAACAGTCAACATATCTTAAACCAACATTTAACTTACACCTACAATCAATGTATGGCAAGTCAACTGACACCGACAGACACAGTCAACTTACAGCAACAGCCAACTAACAGCAACGGACAACTTACATTCTTCTTTTTAGAAAACTTTCTCCGGAAAGACTTGACAAAGCCATCCTGTGTTGAGCAGTGCTTTTCCGTCTCCTGGAGAACTCGCTGAGCCTCCCCAAGTTTCTCCTCCTCGTAGGACATCAGAGCTTGCTGTCGAGCAAATGCCAACAACTCAAAAACTGGGACTAGTTATCATTCAAGATAAGACAATACATGGTAATAACAAGACAAGGAAAGTCACCAATTCAAAAAAGACAACTAATCACTGAGATGAATGGAGGTGGGTAATATCTGTAGCAATGAACCTCAGGGGCTCGGAATGCTGAAAAAGAAGTTGAGCAAGTGTAGGGGCATTCATGTACATACTTCTTTTTCTCTTTCACCTTGTAACTCAGCAATGTGTCGGACGGTTCATGTAAATAAAGATAGTACAAAATGAACAATTACTTGTTGGAAACACAGTCTCAGATGAAACAACATAATTAAGGATGCTGAAGTTTAGATGTCAGTGTGGTTCTAGCAGGAAGGGACATCTAATGAATCAGGAATTAAATGATACATTTGTTAGGTCTGACAGTATAGCATATAGTTGTCTTTGGAGGTATGGAATTACTCCTGGGCTTGCCTCTTCCTCATTGTCCTTGTGGTCTCCATTGCACTGCCTGTCTTTGCCGTCTCTCTTTCTTCATTCTGAGGATGTATCCAACCCAACTCCATCTTTGTTTTCTTATTTCTTTATTTACATCTTCTAAGTCTGTCATTTGTTGTAATCTAGAATGGCTAATTTTATCTTCCCATGTGAACCCCAAGAATCTTCTGAGAAGTTTTCCCTCAGAACATCTGAGCATGCTCACTTATCTTTCTGTCGGTTTTCCACGTTTCTGCTCCATAGAGGAGAACTGTCCTAACTCATGTTTTGTATATTCTGAGTTTAGTTTTGGTGATGTAGATGTTTGATCTCCAGACACTCTGAAGTCTGTTGTAAGAAGTATTTGTCTTTGCAGTTCTCTGCTCTTGATTTCAGCCACTACATTTCCATTTGAGGAAATATTGCTTCACAAGTAGGTTAAGTCAGTCACTTAATTACCTACATTATCAGTCACTATAGATATACATGAAAAGAGAAGAAGGACGTAGAGCACGAGGTAGACCAAGAACAAGATGGAAGGATAACATCAGAGAAACTCAACAACAGCACGATGTGCCTATGGCCAGAAGAGCTTGAAACAGAACCTTATATATCCCTCGACACCCACAGCGGTAAAAGAGGAAGTGAAGAAGAAGAAGAAGAAGAAGATAGGTCTTTCACTTTTGGGGTATATCTCCAGCAGTTTTGCTTTATTTACATTTATTCTAAACCCTGTCTGTTTTGCTATTTCTGTGATCTTATCTGTCTTTTGTTGCCAGATGTTCTTTACTATGGCTGATGACACAGATATCATTTGCAAAGTCCAAATCTTCCAGGTGTCTGAGAAAGTTCCAAAGAAGGCCTGTCCATGTGCCTGTGGTTGCTATCTTCGTAACATAATTTATCACTATGAGAAACAAGTAAGGTGACATAATGCACCTTGTCGGACTAATGATGATACTCTAAGTATTCTGTTTCCACGAGTCCTACTTTCACTTTGCATTAGTTTCATTCATAGTCTTTTAAATATGTTTATAACTTTATCTGGTAACCCATAGGCAGCAAAGATCCTCCACATCATTGTTCTATCTAGACTGCTTTCGCAGCTTTTGGATTTCTTTCAGCTTTTATTTACTTCTTTATGTCTGGTATAACTGTAGGAAAACAAGTCAACAAATGAGGAACTGGTTACATTTACATCTAAACAAACAACATTACCATGAAAAATACAAAACTGTAACCAGAGTGCATCAGAGGGCTTTCATTTCTGCAATAAAACATGAGTAGACAGCAACAACTTAAAAGTAGACAGCAACAATTTAAAAGTAGACAGCAACAATTTAAAAGTAGACAGCAACAATTTAAAAGTAGACAGCAACAATTTAAAAGTAGACAGAAGAGCCAGCATCAAATACTTTAGGTAGGCACAAGTTTTATGGACATGCAGAAATTCTCAATGCTAGTAAACAAATTGAGATTAATACATTTCTTATTTTTATTTTGCAGTTCTTCTTTCTTCTTCTTGGAACCTCTTCCACGCCTTTAGGCGTATAGGGCACATAGGGCTAGACCTATATTTTAATAGACCAATCGGCACAAGATGGGTGATGTGGTCAACATCATGCCGGCCGCCTTTACTTCCCGGGACTGCACCCGGTACCCACTCAAGGCTGGATAGACCTGGTAGCCAAGGTCATTTTTTTTTTAAAGTCTGGCTCCGCCAGGGAGAGAACCCACGACCTTCCAATTCGCAGGCGAGCATCTAGCCGCTCCGCCACAGCGACTCCCATTTTGCAGTTCACTGTCTGTAAACTCCAATGGAAAGTTCTAATTGTTCATTCACTTCTAGAACTATTCCAGAACCTGAGTTTTGTGTGTATGTTTTACAGATCTGGCTTATCTGTATGCAGATTGTTGGTTCCTCGCTTTTGAATGCAATCTGACTTTGAAGGAGACATCCCTAATTAGCTAACTAGTATGACAAGCTTGTAGGGGGGACAGAATTGAGAAAACCTCTAGAAAAATGTTCCTCTGGAAACCACAGGGCAAAACTAAATGGAAAGATACCTAAAACACACAGAGAAGAAAATGAGATGGAGAGGGTGGGAGAGAGATGATAAGAGAATATATATAGGATGCAAAAGGAGCTGTAGGAGACAGACAATACGAGAGAACATCCGAGATTCAGTTGAAGCCTTTTGCCTATGCTCAAGCGAAGATAAACGACAGAAGGATGAGGAAATGGCGCTGGAGTGAGTCAGAAGTAAAACAACTATGATTGTGCTCCATATATGTGGCCTTCGATTCAGGTCTGTTTTTGTAAGCCCTTCATTTTGCGTGCGAAATGAACACTGTGGAAACTCATCGCGTGAAAGTAATCATTATTGATTCGGTTGTTGAACTCTACATGAACTGGTTGCACTCAACTCAGTTTCGATTTCCTGTAATATTTAGTTCTGTACAGTGACTGTTTCAAATCTACACAAGGCAAACCGTAAGCTATGTATGTCTGCAACAATACTGCCGAAATCAAGTGAATAAATTAAGTTGCTTACTTGTATTTATCGAAAAGAGCGAAGGCTTCCTGGAATCCATTGTTGAGAAGCATATTTATTCCAGTGGCTGCCATCTCCACATCATCGAAACAGGACTCGTGATCGCCAGATGCGATACCGTTCATGTCTTCTAAGTAAGGCTGAGGACCTTCAGCCATTGTGTCGTCAATGTTTCTCCACAAGAGTTACGAGAACAGCAGTTTAGCCTAAATCTATCGGGTATCAAACAAGTTTAATTGAGGGCAGAAGAGCAAAAAGGACGTAAACACTGTCGGCCATGGTGCTCTGGCAACCACTCCGAGCAGCTGATTGGTCAGGTCTGCAACTAAACGTGCACATTTTGTTTGGGAGAGCTCCACAGTTCCAGTTTTCACCCAGTGCTGCCGAAGAAATGAACATCAGTCTTAATAGTGCTCTTGACAGAGCTCATCAACGAACATTACATCTCCCCCCGACACTTCGATGAGGTAAAAGGTGGAAAGTAAGAAGAACAAGCTGCCGAAGTTGATCAATCAATCAGATGCCGTCTCTTCAGTTGAGTTTGGCTACAATGTTGTTTGTTTGTTAACGCATCAACATTATGGCACACGGGTGCAACCCATGACTGATCCGTCGGTAACTCATGCCTGAGTCTGAAGAATCTCAGTTCCACATGGCTGCATCTGGATACGTGAGTTGGGTGATTTTGTGTATTTGTGCGGTTTTGTTTGATCTATGTATGTGCTGACGTGCCTCTATATCTGCAACATTCACGTTTTGTATGTGTTTGTTATATTATGAAGCTCGTTGATTTACTTTTAGTTTGGTTTTATATCTTTGCAGAATCTCAGCGCAGTGCACTATCACTAACTTAGTTGCACCAGCGAGGATCCAGAAATAATTTGGATAAATTCAATTGGCAGCGCCATTAGGTTACTTTTTTTTAGATTTCAACATTGAACAAGAAACATTTTAGTTTACAATTTCAGAGGACAAATGTGGAGACACAAATCGCTTTCCACACGTATTTTGGAATTATCCCATTCCTCTACAGATGCAGAAAGATTTTTTTCTCTGCTTAACAGTAGTCAGATAAAATAATGCATTGATAAAAGCTTCTTCCCCATGTATATTAACTGCATCCACTGGAAGCCGCCACAAAACATTTTAACTGAGTGCATAGAAAATCGTATAGCAATGATATAAACAAAGAATTTCAATTATGATGAAATAAACAGTAAGCGGGGTGAGCCACGATATATATGTGTGTGTGTGTGTTTAAAGAGCTATTACCGGTTTATTAATTTAAAATGTACCTTTTGGCGTGTTTTGGTACTATTCCTGACACAATTTCGGCAGCCCTGGTTTCACTAATGCTGTGCCAATAAGTGCAGTCACAGCACAACACTATCAAAATCGACGTTTTTGCACTGTAAGCATCCCTTGCGTGCCTAGTGCTCCCATGCTGGTTGTTCCCATGAGGAGCTGGTTATAGTATCTCCTGTCTTTACCTCGCAGAAGGCATAGGCGTGCTTCACCAAACTCAACTCCTCGGTTGCGCAGTCGTGTTAGCGTCAGCAGAGATTCGCCATTATCCCCCAACCTAGTACGTACAGCGGTCAGTTCTGTCCATGCTTCGGATATTTTCTTTTAAGCGACTACATTACGCGAGATTTAGAGCAATCACAGGCTTATCTCCGAATAACGGGCACAAAAGATGGCGGCCCAAAAAAGGGCCTCAGTCACGTGCCGGCGACCTAATTTGCTGTTTTCCGGCAACTATCGCCACCCCCGAGAGTACCCCTTTGTCGCTCACGCGGCGTGGATTGGGGCTAAACTAGATGGCTAGGACTCACGAGCAAAGCTGCAGGAGATGCGGAAGCTGCTGCTTGTGAGTCCCAGCCATCTAGTTTAGCCCCAACTCCCCCCCCCCCTCATAAAATGGGATTTCCCTAAATCTCGCATGATGTAGTCGCTTGAAAGAAAAGAACCCATACTTCTTACCATTTGCATTGGTGCATTACTTGCCAGCTGGTCAGCTCTTCCATTACCATTTACTACTTTGTGCCCAGGTGTGTAGATCCAGATGATGGAGGTTAACTGCGACTTCCAAATACTTTCTATCCTTTCGGAGTGGAGACTACATGTAGTGATTTTCTGAAGCATGTTATAAAGTCTTGAATGATTACCGCATGTGTCACCCGTACCTACATAGGGCTGTGGGTTACATCTAATTATATTTTCTTTTGAGGTTGAACCGGGTATCTGGAATTTGCCTTCAAGATTGAGTACTCTCAGGATGTTCACCAGCAGTAAACTCCTGCGACTGACAGTCATTCAACCCCACCATGACCGCACAACGAGCTATAAACACCGGGTGACACAAAGTGCCACCATTTGGATAAGAATCACCCAGTATCATTAAGTCCCAGAAAACCTGTTCAACCCATCGGTTATATTTAGGGCCTCTAAAAACAGCCAGGGTGAGGTTTTAAAATAATAAAGAATTGTGTGCCACATTGAGATGGGGAGAGTTCTGGTTTTTCATCCATTTCTGGACTTTGCTTTTGTTCCAGGACTTGAGTTTTGCATACACATATATTTTACAGATCTGGCTTTTTGTGTGCAGACTGTTGGTTGCTTGCCTTCCAGGTATATAGACACATGGCTGGCCCTGATCCTAATGACAGCATTAACCATCTAACAAGAAGGGACCAGGCCACCATCTTCAGACTTAAAACACAACATACTCCACTCAATGGACATCTAAACAGGATACAGCCACAACACTCCCCAGAGTGCCAGCTGTGTAAATACCCCTACGAAACTGTTGACCATCATCTCTTTGAGTGCCCAAAACTCAGCGAGACCGGAAGAATGCTACTCCTTCCGAGACCAGACAAGTGGAACACCTTGTACAGAGGAAAAGAACAGCTTGTGAAAACATGCAAATTCCACTACATGGCATTGGGCCAAAGGGCGAAAGCTCATGCGCCGCTGGATCGAAAACAACAACAACCAGGCAGATGTATTCAGACTTCGGGAGAAACATCCTTAATTAGTCAACTTTTACGACATGCTTGGCAGGGGACAGTGGAAACCCACACTAGAAGGCTGTAACTGACTTGCAAAAGAATCTTGTAAAAGGTGGAGACATGCATGCTTCGTGCAGAGTGGCAAGCATCAATTTAGAGGGCCTGAATAGACGGACATATTCTCCGGAGCAAGCAGGTGTGTTGGGAAATAAGCAGACAGACTGGCTGGTTCTGCATGAGAAGCTTCATGTCTGGGAGTGAGGGAACAGTGTGGAGACACAAATAGATCATCAGTCTGAAGAGGATTGAACCACAGGAAGTGACCAGAGGATCTGGCTTTTTAGGGAAAAGGCAAAATGGACATACAATCAGACTGTTACTGGTACAAATGGAAATGGAACTCTTTGCTGGCTGCTGAACATGGGGATGGGGCACATCTGAATGTCATGAGTGCTGTTATGTCAGTTCTCAAATCAAAACTGTAGGGGTAACAGTTAAGACCGAACCTATCCAGGATGTGGTGATGACAGTTTAAACTGATCTAACCATTTCCTGTAAAGGCAGTCAAGAACTTAACATTAAAAATTCAACAAACACTAAAGCGATTTCAAAACCAAAACTTTTATTAGCAAATATGAGTAAATTAACACATCCAGCAGAAATCAGTAACTACTTGAACAGATACAGCATCTGGTTAACTCAAATATGTATAAATAATTGATGGAAGCAGTGTCTAAACAAGTAGGAAGAAAGTGGAAGCACACTGTAAAAAATAAAAGCCAAAAAGGTATTTAAAATAAGTCAAAACAAGTGCTAAGGGCTTCATCAATCTTCATATGTACCTACAATTACATTCTTTAAAAAAAAAAATTTAAATTCAGTACATTGCTTTGTCCTATGAATAATTCAGTTTTACCTTCTTCTTATTTTGTCGTCACATTGATACCAGGTTTGCAGCCCAGTGACGTGGTTTTCTGTATTTGTCTTGCACTTCTCAGATGGCCTAAAGTAGTAGATCTGTTCAATTTTTTTGCAGGTTTTAGCTACACCATTTTCCATCTCTTTCTGGGTCTTTCTCGCGCCTTCCTCACAGATATCTACTGTAAACAATCTCATACGCAGTCTGGTTCGGCTGCATTCTCAATAGATGGCTGAACCATTTCATTCTTTGTCTGTCAATATAATCCAGACATGGTCTTTTTCCAACTTCCTTTCTAATGCTGGTTTTCATTACCCTGTTCTGTCTAGTGTTGTTAGTGATCTTGCGGAGACAGCGCATTTCACACGTAGTTATTTTCTGTTCTAGTGCTGCATTCATTGTTCACGTTTGACACTGATCACATCACGTAGGGATAAAGATGCTCTTGATCATTTGCTGTTTTGCTAGAATGGAGACATTTGGGTGTCTAAGCAGCGGGGCTAACTGGTAGGTGACAGCATCTGCCTTCTATACTCTGGCTTCTATCTCTCTGCCTAGTCTGTCATCTTTTGTAAATATGCTTCCTAGATATTTGAATTCTCATACTTCAGTTTTATCAGAATGAAAAAAAAAGGTCACTCGTTATTCTTTTATAAATCAGTTGAAATTTGAAAGAATCAAATTTTGAAGACTGATTTAACAAATCTATTTTTAAAGTGCCTATATATTATTTTACAATATCCACAAAAACAAATCTGGCATCCAAAACTCTTTTACCATCTCCCTTTAGCTACACACATGTCCTCCCTAGATTGTTTCTCTCTGTTTCCTGCGTTTTAGCGTCTTCACTTTAGTTGAAGTGTCTTTACTTCAGTTGAAGCGTATTCAGTTCAGTTGAAGCGTCTTCACCTCAGTTAAAGCGTCTTCACCTCAGTTGAAGCGTTTTCACCTCAGTTGAAGCGTCTTCACCTCAGTTGAAGCGTCTTCACTTCAGTTGAAGCGTCTTCACCTCAGTTGAAGCGTCTTCACCTCAGTTGAAACGTTTTCACCTCAGTTGAAGCGTTTTCACCTCAGTTGAAGCGTCTTCACCTCAGTTGAAGCGTCTTCACTTCAGTTGAAGCGTCTTCACCTCAGTTGAAGCGTCTTCACCTCAGTTGAAGCGTCTTCACCTCAGTTGAAGCGTCTTCACCTCAGTTGAAGCGTCTTCACCTCAGTTGAAGCGTCT